TCTATAGATTAGGTTAGAGCCCTCATCATCCAATCACCTCTCAATGATTGAATCCAAGCCTTCAATAAATGAGCCTTTTGGGTGGTACTTTCTATCCAAACCATAACATACCATGATATATACTGTGACAGACGTTGGAGAGCGTCTGGGGAAGCACATAAAAGAGGCAACCAGTATGACTTTCTGGAGAAAGTCTTGATACTTGGGCTGTGAGTCCCAACAGGCTTTTGGTAAAGAAGCATTTTGAGGATCAGCATGAATAAAAGCAAGGAAGGGTGAATCGGTGCTAAGAAACTCTGGAATGGGGAGAACTGGGGAATGATGTAGAAATAAATAAAGTTTAGGAAATAGGAAATCCTGTCTATCATGCTCAAAAGGTTCCAGGGAAACTGCTGGAGGGTTTCCAGCACTTAGGTGTGTGAACAGATTTGTGTTTTAGATACAACCGTCTTGTGGCAAAGTAGAGGATGAAACTGGTTAAGGGGAGGATGGAGAGTGTCCTGTGTAAACTGAGACAGGGATAGTAGAAATGAGGAGAAGAGGTCAAATGTGAGATTTAGTAGGTGAATCCAGGGTTCAGTGTTTGGTTGGCTAAAGGGAGGTGAGGGAAAGAGAAGAAAGGTAGATTCCAGTTTATGGCTATCTCACAGGCCAGCACAAGTAGGTGGACAATGTTGTTGCTGTTACAAGATAGGAAGCACAGGTTGGGCGTGGGTTGGGAGCCATGATGGGCCAACATTGAGCCTGTTAAGTCTGAATTTCCTGTATGGAGGCATTCATTGGGCAGTAGAATGTATGAGTCTGGTGCTTACAAGCTAGAAGACTGAGCTGGGGAAAACATTTGGGGCTCTTCAGCATAAACTTGGTGGTTCTACCCTGTAGAGTGGTTGAACGAGCCAAGAAGAATATCCCACAAGAAGGTGGGGAGAGCTAAATTTAGGAGAATGTCAGTATTTAGCAGGTAGTCAGAGGAAAGGGATTTAGCAAAAGATAAAGAATGGCTATAGAAAGAATTAGGACAATCATGGAAGCCAAGAAAGGAGAGTGGTGAGAACTGACCACCAGATTCAGAACAGACTTTTATTTTTAACAACATAGAGATCACAAGGAACCCTTGATTTGATGGAGTGATAGGATCAAAAGACTGATTGGTTCCAAGAGCTCATGCAGTTCTGGGGGACGACTGAGGGCGATGTTTGCCATCTGCAACCCAGGCCTTCTGAGCCAGATTAGACTCTGTTGTCAGTGAAGGCAGGTAGAGATCCCCAACCTCTCCAATGTTTTCTAGAGGGCCAAAATTGAGGGCCCATGGAAATACACAATTGCAATCTTTTATTTTTTTATTTAATGATAGCTCTTTCCCTAATCTGTTTATAGATGCACAAATGTATTGAAAACATGAACAAACTTAATTTCTCAAACTGAAAGATTTTTGGCAAAGATGCTTTAGACTGTCTAATCATCAAACAAAAAGAAACTTTGAACAAAGAGCACTCGGACACTGCAGAGTCTTTCCTCATTATTTTCAGCCCATGTTCTGAGCACAGCATTTTGGCTGTGATAGTCTTGCTGCTCAATCCCATTTGCTCTGAGTACCCAGGGGAAGTTCACTGTTGGGTGGCACCCAGGGAGTCTCAATCTCATTCACCAGGAATTTCTGAGGACCTTCACTAACACCTGAGGTCTCACGGTTACCTGGTGACAATGCAAGTAACTGTGGCCCAGGAGGAAGTAGATAGTTCTCATACAGGACTGGCATTGCAAAAATTCACCTATTTGGAGACAGAAAATATTATAAAAAGCTAGAATTACAGGTATAAGTTTATATACAACAAAGATTAGAAAGACTGTGCTTTCAAAAAATGCCACATTCTTTTTAATGAAAAGCACTGAAAATAAAGGAGGATGAGGAGGAAAATGTGCTACTTAAAATCAGAATAGTTTTCCCCTCCTCTTCTCACCTGAATTCATGCTCCAGTGGAAAAAAGGTGGCTATGTTTCTGCCCAAGACATACAACATGGGAAATGTTCCTTCCTAGGTGTAGTTTTTGGGAAAATCTCCCAAGGAATCAGTGCCACAGGGAGAATCGTGTTTTCTTCTCTCACTTCCAGAAGTTATGGTCTAGGACTCTAGGGACCTGAGAATCCTAGTTCTGCCATTTTCTGGGTTTGTGGACATACCTCACTTCTTTGAGTCTCAGTTTTCTTATTATTAGTAGGGGCCAGTACTGTCTGTCTGTAGGATTATTCTAAAGATTTCATGAGATAAAACAATCCACAAAATAAGCAGTTAAATGTTAGGTTCCTTCCCCATCCAGAGCAAAGGTTTGCAGCAGGAGGAGGTTAGGTAACTTTTCAGCAGTTCCAAGTAGCCTGTCCTGTCCTGGGTTGAGAGGACTGACCAAGCTGGTCCAGCTGGTACCAACTGCAGGGAAAGATGGGGTGGGCTGGAGCTGTGGATCAAGGGGAAGACACCTTTTCCTGGTAGCTTACTTCCTGCCAGAAGGAATCTGTTTTTGTCCAAAAAAGTTCTGATGTTCATAATCATAGGTGCAAGTCCAGGGGAAAGGGGCCTGAGGCATAAGGTGTGTGGCAGAGGGAATCTGGGGAGTGAGGACAGCAGAAGCTGCTCCTATGAAAGTCTCAGTCCTACAGCTGTCAGTGCTTCTTAAAGGGCCATGGGGAGAATCAACTGTCACACCTGCAGGATCTGGTACTGGGAGGCCAGAGACTGTGCAAATGGGTTCCAGCTTACCAAACATGTGAGACACCATACTTTTCTTCATTTTTCCTTCCAAGGCCAATTAAAACCAAAGCAACTTGGTCATCACAAACAGGGGGCTGAAACTCCCTATAAGATTTCTAGAAAAGCTGCAGGCAATATGAGACTTGGGAGGGAGGGAGGGAGAGGGAGAGAGAGAACACACAAGCAGAAGTCACTGACACTTAGAAGGGCAATCCAGAATGGGGAAGAAGAGGCAGCCTAGGGTAGCAGTCAAGGGCATGAATTTGGTAGTGAAGCCGACCCAGGATTGTTCTACCTTGAATTAGAGCAAATTATCCAACTTCCTTCCGTTTTCGTCCTTTTAAAAGACAATTTAAATGGACACACATTGAAAATTCTTTGGAAGGACATATTAGAAACCTATCTTAGTGGTTACATTTTAGAAGACTTCACAGAGGAATCGAGAGATGCTTTTCACTGATTTTTTGCTACGTTTTCATCTTGGAGCCATGTGGATGTGTGTCCTATGGAAGGAATAAATGGGAAAAAGACAAATGCTGATAGTTTATATTTTACGGGATTGCTCAATCCTCACAGATGCTAATTATTCCCATACATCTGTGGTATTAATACAGGGACTGGGTCACATGTTCCTCTTGGGAGTCCTCTCACCCTAGGGGTCTCTTTATCATGTTCAGATCAATGTCCCCTCCTGTCCCCTCACCCCCGCTTCCCGCACCAGCTTTATGTTATGTTTGTAGTCAGTAGTATAAACTCATCCTCTTAAACTTGGTGTTGGTAATGGGCAAAAGAAATAAAAGAGTACCATTTGTGAATTAGATTGTAATGTAGATTTCCTTTTTATGATTAACAAATTTTAGAATAATTAATATGAACAATAGCACCTGGCAAAAGTTTTTCTTGATTTTTTTTAATTTTGAAAAATTACAAACCCATAGAGAAATTTAAGAATGGTGTAATGAACTACTGTGTTACCTTGTTACCTTTACCTCTATTCTTGAGTTTTTAACGTTTTGCCATATTTTCATTCTCTCTTAGAGACACACACATTTTTCTGGGCCATTTGAAAATTGCAAATGTGACACTTTTACTTCAATTCTTCAGCATTTGTCTTCCGAGCACAAGGACTTTCCCTACATAACTGCAATACAATAACTAAACTAGGAAATTTAACAATTATGTAAGACTTTTATCTAATGTATAGCCCGTCTTCACATTTCCCAAGTATTCTAGTAATGCCCATTCTAGCTGCTTGCTTTTTGATACAAAATGCTATGGAAGCTAGTGTGTGTGTGTGCGTGCGTGCATGTGTGTTGCTAAGGATGGAATCCAGGCCCTCATATATGTTAGGCAAGTGCTTTACTACTGAGCTACACCTTCAGACCCTAGTGAGGATCTCACATTGTATTTGGTTGTCTATGTAGATACTTACCTAGTCTTCTTTTATCACTCATGATATCGACATCTTCATTTTGGAAGAGTTTGAGTTGTCTTTTGGGCCTTTCGCCTTAGCTTTCCTGCCCCAATGTTGTTTAATCTCTTTCTTTCTCTCTCACTCTCATTCTGTCTTTCTCTCTCTCTCCCCCTTCCTTCCTTCTTTCCTTCCTTCCTTCCTTCCTTTCTTTCCCTTTCTCTTTCCCCTCTCTCTCTTTCTCTCTTTCCCTTTCTCCCCCCTGCCCCCCACCCCGCTGTCCCCCTTCTTCCTCCCCTATTTCCCTCTCTATCTCCTTCTCTTCCTCTCCCTCCCTCCCTTCCTCCTTCCCTTTCTCTTTCTATTTTTTTGGTGGTGGTACTGGGGTTTGTGCTTGCTAGGTAGGTACACTACCACTTTGCTCAAGAACCATGCCCCAAGCCCTTTTTGCTTTAGCCATTTTTCAAATAGGATCTCACATTTATGCCTGGGCCAGCCTGGATTGTGATCCTATGTGGGTTTCCTGGATAGCTGGGATGATAGACAAACCCAGTGACCCAGCATTTATTGTTGGGTGTCTCCAGCAGAACTTTTCATCCAGGCTGGCCTGGAACTTCAAGCCTTATGATCTCCACCTCCTGAGCAGCTGGGATTATAGATGTGAACCACCACATCTGGCCTCAGTTATTTCTTCATGATCAGTCTCAAGTTAGAAGTTTTTGGCAGAGTATTAAATAGTATTCTTTCAGTGCTATCTTTTGTAAATTTTTAAAAATTTTCTTTTAAATATATGAATCTAGGAGTAATTAAAAAATTCTAATATTCTTATTTTCATATATTCAGCAGGTCAAATATTGGCAAGTGACTCCTGTCATCATGCTATGATTGAGGCAGTAGGCTATTTGTATAAGTCTCTTCATATAAGGGGGACCCACCTGGGATCTTCTCATTCATCAATCCAAGGAATCCTGCAGTGAGTCTGTTTCATGTATCAAAAGAAACATGTTTCTGATTACTCATGTTGTATGTATATGACCTGTTGATAACTTTCAATCTTTTGCAGCCTTCTGAGAGAAATTGAGCAGATCCGGGGCAGGAGATGGCCTCAAGGCATGAGCCAGCAGAGTCCTGAAGGCTCTAAGAAGGGCTCTTCACTACGGGGACTCTTGCCTAAATTAAACTACCACAGCGCTCAGGGTACTAATACAGTGAACTCTGCCCTGTGTGTACACTCAAGTAAGTTACACAGGGCTCAAAGTATAGAGTTGGCAGCTCATCCGATTTTGGATAAATCCAAATATGCTTCCAGCAAAGGGAAAGTGATCTTGAGGCCTGTTTCGTGCATTTCTGCTGAGGAAAAGCCCCAAAGGAAGGCACAAAATAACGTGGAAACATGGACAGGCCCAAGAAAGGAAGCACCAAAGAAAAAGAAAGGCTGTCCCTTTAACATTATGTCTTCGGACAAGATGAACGGCTTGGTGAGGGTTTCAAGGCAAAGGATTTTGTCTGCTAGAAATGAGAGTGGAGAAGGTCAAATCACAATTTACAGTCATCCCCTGCTGGTGCCTCCTAGCACAGATAATCCCTGGGAACCCATATCTGAACTCATATCAGAAAAGTGGCTTTTTCATAGTCCAGAGTACAGCTTGATGCCACAGAAGTCTGTTTTTCAGGGAAGCTCTCAAATAGAAATGAAACTGGTAAAGACTTCAAATGACATTAGTAAGGAATAAAAATTATTGCAGGCTCTTTTGTGTCTGTTTTTCCTGCTTGTCTTTATTTAGAACTCTGTAATTGGATATTTTCTTCTAAAACACTTAGGAGGGATAATAATAGAGGTCTGGATACATTTTTTTGGCCCCTCAAATATTATAAGAACAGCTGATAAGAACAGCTTTTAAGTGGTACACATTTCTATAGTGGTTAGAATAATGTTCATCTCACAGTCTTGGTTCTAAAAATATACCTGGAAGAAATCTTACTAAAGTTCTGATGTGTGATTTTTACATTGCTGTGGTTTATTTACTTTGAATTTATGGATTCATCTAAACAAAATTGACAGTTATCATCTTTTTTATTAAACATAAATAAGAAAAGATATAAATTGGAGTACATTAAAACCATAAAGTAAGTTTAAAGAACCAAAGCCCATGGATTTGTTATCATATTTTGAACTTTTCTCCCAGGGCCTTGCCATGGTAGGCAAGTGCTCTACCACCTGAACCATGCCCCAGCTTCTTTGGGTTTTTTTTTTGTTTTTGTTTTTGAGATAGGGTGTTACTAACTTTGGGCTCTCTTCCAACTCTGAATTCTCCTCTCTCTGCCTCTCCAGTAACTGGGATTATAGGTATGTACCACCATGCCAGCTTATTTTGAGTATTTATATCATCCCCCATTTTATCAGTGATTTGTAAAACATTGTTAGTTAACAATGTAAACAAAGTTTACTTCTTGGATATCTTCATCCTATCACCCAACTAAGTCATACATACACCTAGAAAGCCAATAGGAGAGACTCAGCTGTATGACTTTAGGCATACACCTCTCTTTAGCTTCAATTTCAAGAGAGAAATGATGGAACCTATCTTCGAAAATCCAGGAGAGGATTTCATGAAATAATGTTCATAGCAAGTCTTCAACTAACGGTAGTTATTAAGGGTCATGATCTAACCTGGATGCTGCCTTTTCCCAGGCACCATCTCCTGACTCCTCCAGCCCATAACCTAAGCATATACTAGTGCCCCACCTACTTCACATATGGCAGTATGGTCTCCCTGGCAGTCAGCCAGCCTAGAGAGCTATTTCCCTACATCCCCTGGCACCCTGCTCAATGATGACCATAGAGAGGAAGTCCTTGGGGTTGGGTCCAGTAATTGTAAGGTGGGTCCTGGGTGGGTGACATCATTCTGTAGAAGACAAGTCTGACTCAGCCTACACAGAAGTGCTGCCTGGTGGGGAGGTTACTGTTTGTTTGACTTTGGTGGAACCACAAGGCCCAGAACGGGTGCAGCTAAGCCTGTAAACAAAACAGGTTCTGAGCGTGGCCAGGGGTAGGTTGATGGCATCCAGAGGACCTCTTGAGGTGGAAAACTAGCGTGGGCCACTGGCCTTCCAGGCTGTTCACTCCCAGAGCAATGTGGGTTCCCTTCAAACTTACTGGGGTCTGGGATTTTCCAGATGACCTTAGCTCACGTGTGGGACCTCCGCCCAACTGCCCTTTAAAAGACGGGCCTGAATGGATCCAAGCTGGAGATCAGGGTCATCCCAGACCGGTCCCGGAGATCCAGGGAAGGTCTAGACTGCAGAGGCCATTAATGCGGGGAGAGGTCACCTTCCGGAGCCGGGGGCAGAGCAGATGGAGTGGGGGTGGGGTCACTGTTCGCGTGCCTGGCCACAGTTAATGGGACCATCACAGAATGCAGGAAGAAGGTGGAAAGGGGCCCTACGGGAGGCGCCGGGGTCGCGTTTTGTGGCCCAGAAGTGGCGACGAGTCATTCCATTCCGTGTGGCCTCGTCACAACGCACGCCATCCCCACAAGCCGCAGGGTCAGGAAGTGACTATAGCAGGCCGCGTGCAGAACCCGGACAGCTGAGGCCCCGCCCCCGTCCTCCCAGGCCCCGCCCCGCGGCTGCCGGAGGCGGGGCTGCGCCGCCACGTGCTCCCACGTAGGGAGCCGCCCGCCCGCGGGGCTGAGCGCGGACCCTGTGCTGTCCCTGCGGCGCCACTAGCAGCCAGGCGGCGGCAGGCATGGCCACGGTGGCCGCGGCGGTGGCCCGCGGGGCCGGAGCTAGGGCGGCGGCAGCGGTGGCCCTGCGGGGTGACTGCGGGGCTGCGGCCCGGGGACGGCCGCACGCGGGCCCCGCTCGGCCCTTGTGCACCGCTCCCGGGACCGCGGCGGACATGAAGCGCTACCTGTGGGAGCGCTACCAGGAGGCGAAGAGAAGCACGCACGGTGAGTGGCTCGGCGCCCCAGACCCTCCCGCTCCTGGGGGCTGGGGCCCTTCCGGGTCTGGCTGGGCGGCAGGTTCCCTCCCTGAGGTCAGCGGGCACCCTGGGTCCCGCGCCGGTCCCGCCGCTGACCTCCAGGACCCTGCGATCGTGACCCTCGGTCCCTCTACCCGGGACTGCGGGCAGCATCGCCTCTGCCCAGCGGCTCCGGGAAACGCGGAAAAATGCGTCTCCAGAAACTTCCGAAGTCTTTCTACTGTTGGGAAAGCTGTTTTACGCTTTCTTGGGATTTTTACCCAGGAATCTGCATTGAAAGCGCTTTGGTCGGTCCTAGGGGATCCACGGGCATCATTCGGGGGACAGTCTCCCCTCCCCCGTTAGGTGTTGTTATTAACCAGTATTAATTACAATAACAGCCGGAGGCAGGCGCGTCCGGTTATCCTGGCTCCCGGGCAGGTGGTGACAGTGTCCTGAGGCTGATGTTTTCCCTTTTGCGAGTTGGGGTGGGGTGGGATGTGCTGTGTTTGAGATGGGGAGGGTCCAAGATGGAAGGGTTCTGGTATCTACTGACCCCAGTGAGGAGGACATTCGGAGGAAGTGTGTGAATACCTTGTGCCATGTGCACCTAGAATGAGCTGGGCTCAGTTGTTACTAAGTGAAACGGGTGACACAGAGAGAGGAGCTAATAAATACTAGAGTGCCAGCCACCAGGATTGTTTCTCAGAAATCTAACGATAGGCTTGGAAGGAGGTGCCATATCCCCATTCTAAAGATGGGAATAAGGGGGACTCAAGTTTAAGGGATCTGGCCAAGGTCAAGGTTTTGACCTCAGTCCCTAACCTATTGTCTTGTCTGCTACTCTGCTGCTTCCTAGTAGCAGGAAGCACTTGACACCACGGGTGTCAAGGGCCAGTGATAATTCATTGCAGCTTTACTTAAGGGAAGGTTCTGAACAGAAATTTAGTATTGATTTTTTGGTTAGGTTTTGGGTGGAGCTGGCATTTAGCGACAGGGAGAGAATGTTTGGTGAGAGAACCTTTGTAGAATCACATTTTCTGTCTTTTGGCCAGAAGTCAGTTTAGTGAGATGAAATCAGTGCAAGTGATTTTCTGAGTGAATTCAAAGTGGTTTAGCAATGCAGAATTCGGTGGTAGAGTGGCTGCTTTTAGTAGTTTCCCTTTGCCAGGTTTCATATTGCTTTGGCTTCCAGGCAATTGTGTGATATTGTGGAAGACTCAGCTTTGGAGACATTGGGAAGTGCAGACCTCACAGATGAAGGAAAGAAGATCATCTACTCCAGCTTTTGGGCAGGCAGGATTTTTTTTTAATTAAAAAATTTGAGATAATTGTATATTTACATGCAGTTTTAAGAGATAATACAGAGGGATCTGGCATACCCTTTACATGGTTTCTCCCAGTGGCAAAATTTTGCAAAACGATAGTGCAGTTATCATAACCAGTATCATCCTTAGGTCAGTTGCCTCCTTTATTTGTGCTAGTGTGTTTATGTATGTGTACATGTGTACAGTTTTCTTGCATGTATGTTTGTGTATTCATCATCACAGTCAAGGTACTGAGCAGTTCATCACAAGGCCCTCATATTGACTCTATTTATTTTGGAGGTACTGGGGTTTTGAACTCAGGGCCTTGTGCTTAGTAGGCAAGTGCTCTACTACTTGAGCTAAACTCCAGACCTTTTTGCTTTAGTTATTTTTTAGGTAGGAACTTGCAAACTGGGCTAGTCTAGAACCTAGATCCTCCTATCTCCCATTCAAGTAGCTGGGATTATGGATCTGAGCTACCTCAACTGGCTGTTTATATATTTATTTTGAGACAGGGTCTCACTATGGCTGGTCTCAAACTTGCCATCCTTCTGCCTCCGCCTCCCAAAGCCTGGGATTATAGGTGTGCCCAGAACAATGGTGTTTTCCTTTTCATTGCCGGTATTTATGTTCCCTGGTATGCATGTACCACAGTTATACAGTAAATGGTTTCACCACAGTTCACTCATCAACAGACGTGTAGATTGCACCTAGTCTTTGACTCTTACAGATCAGAGGGTGTAAATATCATGCACTGGGTTTTTGTGTGAACAGACATTTTCATTTCCCGAAGTGTTTTAATTTTTTTTTTTTTTTGGCAGCACTCAGGGCCTTGAACTTGCTAGGCAGATGCTCTGCCATTTGAGCCGCACTGCCAGCCACATTTTCATTTCTGGAAATGCTCAGGAGAACAGTTGCTGGGTTGATGTAATTGCGTCTTCAGTTTTCTAAGAAGCAGCAGGCAAAATTTTTGCTATTCTGATCTTTTGATAAAAACTTGCTGCTTGCTGCCTGTGAGTTGTGGGAGGTCACGAAGTTTGTGTTTCTTCATCTGTGGAGTGGGGAGACAGGTAATCCCAACCCACAGGGCTCTATTGGGAAAGGATGAGTCCATCCGGAAGTCCGTTCAGTTGTGCAGGCGACACCTGAAGTGTTGGGTGATCGAGATCAGTGTTGGAGCAGAGTTCTTTTGGTCTGTGGTGTGACAGTCTGAGGGGAACTTTGGAGTGTGAACGCCTAAGTTCCTTTCCTCCCTGAGTCTGGTTTCCTCAGTTACTGTAAGGAGGTAATGTGGAACCTAGTAGCTGGAGATAATCGGTTGAGAATAGCTATTACTACTTCTTATTAAGTTACTGTCAGTCAGGGAAGCACATGTACTAAGAGGTGGAGGTGGGTAATTTAGTCCTGGGGTCTTGTCTCCTTCTTTGGGCAGACCCATACCTTGCCATGTATCCTTGAACAAATCACCTAACCTCTCAACTTCAGTTTTACGCACACACACGTGTTTCTATCTCAGCCCTGAAAACTTGGGGACTTTAGTTTGACTTTGCTTCTTCGTCCTGTCTGGGTCTGCACCATGCCTACCCTCCTCTAGTGAAATCTCTGGTAATACACCTGCCCAACCTGAGTTCATTCAACAAATGCTTAGTAAGCACCCAGGAGTGGGCTAAAGGCTATTGGTTGACAGATAACAGATAGGGAGGGACCCAGTAGGACCAAGAGGTTAGGAGAAAACACTAATACTTCCATTTTCTCCAGTTGCAAGAGGGCAAAACAATTTTGTTTTCTCTCTTCCCGATTTTGACAAAGAATTTTCTCACCTTTCTGGTCACTTGATCTCCTTCCTTAATCCAAACAGCCCCTTCAGGCATCTTCCATTGCCAGGGCCCCCAGAATGTAGCCTTCATGAGCAAATGGTCTTTTCAAAGTTTTGTTCTAATCCTTTCTTATTTCCCCCCACCACACACACCCTTTGTAATGTAAATTTCTTAAAAATAACCTAATTTTTAGATTAGTTTTGGATTTGCAGAGACATCATGTAGTTTCTATACTCCCTATGACCCTTTCTTATTCCCGAGGTGTATTTGTGACAATTAGTGATCCAGTGTTGGCACATCATCCATGGTTTACTCATATTCCACTGATTTTTACCTAATGTCTTTCTTCTGGTGGAAGAGTCCATCCAGGATAGCATTTGACATTTAGTCATTCTTCAGGTTCATTTCCCTGCTGTGGTTTCTCAGACTTTTCTCTGTTTTTGATGACCTTGACAGTTTTAAGGAAGACCACCTACTTTGTAAGACATTCCTTATTTGGGATTTCTTCCTGTCATTCTTTTAACCTGAGACTGTTGGAAGGGTAGTGTTTATGTGTTCTTTATGGAAGTCAGCTCAAAGAAAAGCTTCTTTGGAACTCGAGTAGATGAAGTACTGCTTTATAATCTCTAGTCAAAATGTTAGACGTTGCAGTTGAACTTGGACTTTGCAGTAGGACGGTGGTTTTCATCGGGACTTGAGGGGAGTTTTGCACTGCAGAGGGTTTTTGGTGAGGATTGGAGACCTTACTCGTTCCAAAATAGGGAAGAAGGTGTGCTGCTGGCCTGTGGTGGGTAGAGGCCAGGGATGCTGCTAAACATCCTAGGTGTGCAGCCCTGCCCTAAAGTGATGAGCTTGAGGGAATCAGAGTGTGATTTTAATTTCAAGGACTGAGTCGGTTGGTGCACAGTCTCTTGTTTTTTGCTGTGCTGTGCACTGTATGTGTCGTTGAGTGTAATCTTCATCCTGCCTTGTGTGCTCATTAGCTAACTAGCCTGTCCTGTTAGGCACAGAACAGAAGCATTCCTGCTTCTCTCAGAGGGGTTGCTCCAGCTTTGTGTTTGGACAATCTAGAAGACTTTCTCTCTCTCTCCCTCCCTTCTTCCATTCCTCATCCCTTCCCTCCCTCCTTTCTTTCTCTCTCCCTCTTTCTTTCTCTCACTTTCTTTCTCTTTTCTTTCAGCAGTAATCTTAGAGCCTGGGCTATTTAGGATATTTGGCTCCTTGTGAGGCTATAGCACATATTAAGCTATGGAAGGTGGGCTGGAGATGAGTGGGGAGTGTCAGAAGTTTTTATTTGGAGGTATTGAAGGATTTATTCAGAGTTCTGGGTTGAGAGCACCTAATAGTTGTGAGTGTGTATAGCACAGTGATGCAAGCAGAGCATGTAGAAAATAAAGGCACAAGGATAGTGTTCATGGCTAATGAAATAATAAATAACGATGGTAATAAACAGATTCCTCAAGGAGCTGCTGTAGGGCAGAGAGCTCCTCTTGGGATCACTTTAGAATTAGGCTGGTATTTCTCACACTGTGTTCTGCTTCTGAGAGAGGTAGTTAAAGGATATGGAAAATACATATGAAGAAGTTTTTATAGCTTGGCTTTTCAGCACTAGCTTTAGAACCAGTGCGTCAGAGCCTTTAAAATGCATGGATGTCCAAGGGAGAGGATGTAGATTTATTGTTTCCAGAATAAATTTGACATGGAATCATTTTTTTGAGACAATAAGTCTATTTTGAGGTTCTAAAGAATATACTTGGGAAGTTTTAATAATATGTCTGATAAGAATGTATGTTGCTAATAATGAAGGAGGCTCAGTTGTACCACCAGAAATATGCTTTTCCTGCCTGCCAGGGACAGAGGATAAT